TTTTGAGACGGAGTTTCCCTCTTGTTACCCAGGCTGGAGTGCAATGGCGCGCTCTCGGCTCACCGCAACCTCCGCCTCCTGGGTTCAGGCAATTCTCCTGCCTCAGCCTCCTGAATAGCTGGGATTACAGGCACGCGCCACCATGCCCAGCTATGTTTTGTATTTTTAGTAGAGACGGGGTTTCACCATGTCAACCAGGACGGTCTCGATCTCTTGACCTCGTGATCCACCCGCCTCGGCCTCCCAAAGTGCTGGGATTACAGGCTTGAGCCACCGCGCCCGGCGGGACTCTGTTTTTTAAAAAAAACAAAAACAAAAACAGTTGTAATACTCAAACATAGACACGAGATAGCTTGATCCAAGGCAGAGGGCTGTGATAAGAGCCTGTGATATGTTTCCAAGGGCAAAGGCCAGAGATAAGAGGCAGAGAAAACAATTTCTATGAGCAAAGTCAAAGTCCAAGGGCAAGTTGGTGAGGCTGTACAAATGGCGCTTTCCACCAGGAATCACAAAGGTAACTTGGAGTCCTCAAACACAAAAGGAAATGCACCTCCCAGATCCAAAAGGGAGCCAGAGGTCATGGTCCACTCCAGGATGGTAGAGAAAAGAAAAGGAAAAATTTTTTTTTAAAGCAGAAACACACCACAGAGCTCTGAGAAGTTGTCTACAAGACAAGGAGCAAGTGGCAATGTCTAGACAGGATGGCTTAAAGCTGCGACGACGAGGACTGGGGTTTCTCTTCTACCAAAACGTATCGTATCCCATCACCTTTAGGAAGTGACAGCAAAAAGTCAACTCAAGATCCCTGGAGTCAGGTGGGTTCCTGGTGCATAAAGCCTGTGGTCTTCTCAGAGCTATTCCCTCTCAGAACCTTCCCCAGCCTTCTGTTATCCCTGAGGATGGGGTCAAGCCCCGGACAAAGTACGTACTTTTCAAATCATGAATTTTAAAGCCAAATGGCTCCTTTTAAGCAGTTTTTTTTTTTTTTTTAAATTTACCAATGAAGACACATCCTCAGAGGGGTTAAGTGACCTCCAAAATCCAAGTGAGGGTTAGTGAAGGAAGCTTCTCGCTTCCTTGTTTAACGCTCATCTCAACGCACTACGCTGCCCTCCTGAAACTTAACTGAGATAGATTTTTAAATATTCATTGGGAAACATTCTGGAGAGGGAATCCACATACAAGGATATTAACTTCAGCCCTGTGTACTAGCATAAAAGACTGAAAACTACCTCACTGTCTACTAACAGGGGGCAGATTAAAGAGGTAATGGTGTATCCATTCAATGCTATAATATACAGCTCCCTCCCCCCCTTTTTTTGGAGTGAAAGTTTAATAGTCAGAAGAAAAGAGAAAGAAAAACAGCTCTCTGTATAAAGAGAGAGGGGTCTCTGAGTAGAAAGGACCCATACACAGCCTTTTTAAAAAGGAGGCTGGAGCTGAACGTGGTGGCTCTTGCCTGTAATCCCAGCAACTCCAGAGGATCGCTTGAAGCCAGGAGTTCGAGACCAGCTTGGGTAACACAGTGAGACCCTCCCCAGCCATCTCCTAAAAAATACAATAAAACTAAAAGGAAGTTGATCTATGTATTAATATATAATGACTTCCAAGATACGCCGTAAGTGAAAACTCAAGAGGCATGCTGCCATTTGTGTTGAAGGCCTGTGCAGGCACGAGTGTGCACGTCGCCACCCTTGCCACCTCTGGCAGGACACGCCAAGAGCCAGCAACAGGAGCTGCCTGTCGGGGAGAAATTCAGCGCAGGGAGAATGAGACTTAACTTCACTGCATCCTCCAGATGCCTTTTGAATTTCATACCATATATCTGACCTTTGAATAGGTCATATTACTTATTTAAAAAATTACATAATGAACACATGAAACTGTCTCTAAGGACGAAGCAACACACAGATGTTTTATTAGTTAGTATACAGGTTGAGCTGTGTGGGCTCCAGTCCTAAAATAGCAGCCGCTCACAACCCAAGCACATTTATCTTTTGTGAAAAGGTCTCTGCATCCCTCAGTGGGGAAGTTGTGTTCTAAGACAACTGCAGGGCCAGCTGCCTCTGTCTTCTCCCCCACCCCCAGGATGCTGGCTTGGTGCAGGCGCTCTGGGGTGATTTCCTACCACAGGTACACACCTCCCAGCCAGCGGGAGGGACGAGTGGGGCCCTCCAGGTGCCCAGAGCAAACAGTGTCACCACGGAAGCAGGGGGTCACTGGCAGCCTTGGCCATGAGGCTCCAGCAATGAGGGATGAAGTAAATGATGGTACCCTGTGTAGAACCACGATGGGATGGCCAGCTAGTTCCACGGACTCAGGTGCAGGATATGCGATGACCTGGAAAGACATCCGTGGCCTTTCAAATGTCAACAGATCAATACAAACAGTATACAGTGGTAACCCTTATCCTCAGCAAGATGTTCCAGGTCTCCCAGGAGATGCCTAAAACCGTAGCTAGTGCCCACTCCTAGGCTGCACAGCCTATGCACAAATGTATTTTTCCTTTTCCACAATTTTATGGGTAGATTATTTTTTGCTGCTTTTTTTAAGAGACTGGGTCTCACTCTGTCGTCCAGGCTGAAGTGCAGTGGTGCAGTCACAGCTCACTGCAGCCTTGAACTCCTGGGCTCAAGCGATCCTCCCATCTCAGCCTCCTGAGTAGCTAGGAATATAAGTGTGTGTGATCATGCATGACTAATTTATTTTTTCTATTTTTGTATTTTTTTTGTAGAGACGGGATCTTGCTATATTACCCAGGCTGATCTCGAACTCCTGGGCTCAAGTGATCCTCCCACCTCAGCCTCCCAAAACGCTGGGATTACAGGCATGAGCCACTGCACCTGGCCCCAAAGATTCCTTCTTACAACCACAGTATATGATCTTCTTTTCTTATTGAGAACTTTCACCTTTTCACTTAAGAAAGTACTTTATGGCTTCTCTATGGTGTATCCAAACTGCCAGTGCCACTCCTCCTGTGCTTTGGGGCCATGAGGAAATAAAGTAAGGGTGACTTGATCACAAGCACGGCTACTAAGTGACCTGCCAGGGGGGACGCTGGACAAAAGGAGGAGTTGCATCCAGGGTGGGACAGGATGGGATGGCTCCAGATTTCATCACACTACTCAGAAGGGTATGCAATTTAAAACTTACGAATTATTTCTGGAATTTTCCATTAAATATTTTCGAACCAACGTTGACCAAGGGTAACTGAAACTGCAGAAACCACATCACTGATAAGGGGGGTGATGTGGTTTGTCCCCACCCAAATCGCATATTGAATCGTAGTTCCCATAATCCCCACGTTATGGGAGGAACCCGGCTGGAGGTAACTGAATCATGGGGGTTACCCTCATGCTATACTAATGATAGTGAGTTCTCATGAGATCTGACGGTTTTATAAAGGGCTTTCACCCACCTTGCTCTCATTCTTCTCTCTCCTGCCCTCCTGTGAAGAAGGATGCGTTTGCTTCCCCTTCTGCCATGAGTGTAATTTTCCTGAGGCCTCCCCAGCCATGGAGAACCATGAGTCAATTAAACCTCTTTCTTATAAAAATTACCCAGTCTAAGGTATGTCCTTATAGCAGCATGAGAATGGACTAATATGGGGGACTCCTATATTTGCATTTTTGTAAATATTTATGATTAGGAAGATGTATATATGAATATATCAAGGCATGGAGTTTTTGCTTAGTGATTCCTTCTAACATTCTACATTAAAAATGTGG